TTGGTTCGATAACTCGTCCTTGTGCAGCCTCGGCAATATCTCTTCGCAGTCATAGCCCATCTCGTCAGCATAGCAGATAGCGAGACGGATGCAGCTCTCACAGATCCCAGCCTTCAAGTCTTCTATAGGGTACTCCAGGAAGCCACTCTCAATCTGGTTATAGTGGCTGCTTTCGTAAGCGTTGATCCCCTTGTAATGGTAGCGGACGCCTGTAGGCAGGCTGACGAGATGATTAGCGTGATCAGGACGCAGCAGGACTTGTAGAAAGTACAAAAGTGGGTGTTGAGCAAGGATCTGCTGGCTGACAGAGTGCACCGTGATATCTAAAAGTCCACTGGACACGCTATCGAGATTGCGATTATGCCACCGGAAAAGAGAAAACTCCTGGTCCAGCATAGTTCGAACCTACTGGAGAAACGACTGCATAAGCCCTAGCACAATACAAAAACCATTTTCTTCAAAGTCGACAAGTGCAGTGTGATCGGAGTGTGGTTTGAAGCCAAGGATACGCCTAATGCTGGCGAGATCTTCCATATCAAACACCTCACATGTCTTGTGAGTGCTAACGATTCCCAGACGAGCCCGGTTACGAGTCTGACTAACAGCAGTGGGGTTGCTACTGATATGACTGCTTGGGGGCAGCTCAACCGACTGAGCAGACCCAGCCATCGTAAGCTTCGAATTGGTTCGCTTCCAGTTCATGAAAGCAAAAGTGCTGTCCACTGCGGTCTGGATGATCGCGCGGTGCATTGCAAGCAGAGAATTGCTCTTCAGACCAATGCGAGCGGCAGCCATCTTGGTGTGGATATAGCAGAGAGGCGGCGCGGAATCATCGTCATTATCATCACCTCTATCATCCGAGAGAAGGGAATGATATCCATTGACGGCGGCTTGTGCAGCATGAAAACTTCCGTTGTTCTCCTTGTCAATTGCTTGACTCTGTACGATGCTTGGAAGGTAGTCGCAAGCTCCGTTGGCTGGGCAGTTCTTGCATAGCTTGGAGCTCTGACATCCCGCCAGTAGCGATGTTTCCTCGGCTTGACTGTCGTGTTCTTCGTCAACCTCTTCATCTTCACCGCATTGACTTTCGTGTTCATGAGTGACGTCGCTCGTAAATCTTTCCGCACGCGCAGGTGCAGTGCAAGCACCGGCTTGATTGTGAGCGCGAGCCATGCTGAGCCTAGTGACTCGTGCGGTCGGAGTGGGTGCAAGCGGGTCTGTAGATGTAATGGCTGCGCCATCTACTTGCGCAGAAGGAGCAGACGTGGCTAGAGCCATCGCTGGAGGCACCTTATCCCCGGCCTTGACACTATCGATCACTTTGGAGTGGACGCTGTAATACTTCTTCTCAAAATCACGCTGTACAGGAGGGACCAAGGCAGTGCTCTGTCTGCCGGTCTTCGTCAACGCGGTGGAGGTGCGGTAGAGCTGCCTGTCGAGGGGCTTCACGCCGCAGCCCTTCGACACCTCACCCGCCCTGACAGAACACACTCCCTCCTCGACAAAGCTCGAACTCGAACGTTCCTCGCCGCGCACGCACCTGAGCCGCAACCCCGACATCCATACATCGCCCACCGCCACGGCTTGGCATCAATATCCTCGTCTCTCTCAATGCCTGCGTAACGACATACCGCAGCTCCCCGACATCGACGACGCTGATAACATCAACAACACATCTTTCCAGCCTAAAGGAACGCATTCGCCCTCACCCACCATGCCGCCCCGTCCACAGCCGAAGCGCCTTCTCTCGCTCTCCTCGCAGCACCGTGGTATCGATGGCCCCGTCTCGCGCTTTAAGCGTGCCCGAATGGAAGGCCTTGCCCACGACGAGGGCCGCCCGTCGTCCCGCCCCAATCCTGCGTACGCCGCGCTTGCGCACAAATTCTTGGCCGCATTCGTGTCGTTGTGCACCACCACCACGGACACGCCGGGCTGCGCATGATTCGAGATGGGGAACCCTCCTACATCGCTGTGCTGCTGCTCGCAGAGGACGATCGTCATGTGAGGCGACAGGAAGCGCTAGCGGGTGCGGCAAAGCAGGAGCAAGACTCGTCGTGGCTGTTGGTCTACGTCGCCTTGGATAAGACCGACTCGCTCTGCCTCACTACTGGCATACTGCGACTGCGCACGAAGTACACCAGATGCCAGACATCTGCAGGCGCGTGCGTGCGTCGTCCTTGCTGGGACCGTTGGGGTAGAGGTGACGGCGGCCATCAGCACCGTTCCGCACCACAAATGTACCATGACTCCTGTGCCATCCGCACTCGATCACAGTACCGACAAGATCTACACAGGCTTTGTCATATGTATTGGGTGATGACTGCTCTCGTTATCAACGAGAACGTTTCCACTGATGTCTTCGTGCGGGCGTGAATTGGCGCCATGTTCGTGCGAGAAGAGCAGCGTAGTAGGCGAATCAGCGAGGTCGGCTACTTCGGGGAGCTACCTGCGCTACCACCATTGCCTGCGGATACTAATAACACCAAAGAGGAGGACGAGTGCACGGCTATTACGGCCAGATTGGCTCGTTGCAAGAGCACTGTGGAGTGGGACGAGCAGTCGCGCACTTTCCTGGCTTGGTGTACCCGGCTCCTCAAGCATATCCGTATCTGTGCCGATGCAGCTGCCACTTCTGCCAATGCAATTGACGCGAACTCCGCCGCTATTGCCGACATTCAGGACAAACTCGCACGCACGCAAAACTTTCTCGCACAACCGGAGCTCGACGACGATCTTATTCACAGCCTACAGCAGAGGCTTTCGCAACTCCAGTAGGTCATGTTGACCGCGTCTCGTAAGCAGGAGAAGAATGCAATGCAAGAGCTAAAGGCATGGGTGGACCTAGGCACTAACAAGGTAGAGGCGGGCAGAGTTGCAATGGCAAAGCTGAGAGATAGGCTGATTGCTCGCATCACCGACTCCTGCCATGACTAGCTGGCTAGTGTAAATGGGAGAAGGATTGAGATGTGCTCAAGCGGATCCTGGTCGAATGCTTCTAGTCTACTCGAAGGTGGAGGCGGCAGACGCGAGAGGAAGTGTACATTGTCCATTCGACGAGGACTTGAGCGAAGGAAGGAATGCTAACGATGCCAAATATTCGGCTCTCCGAATCTTCACTCCACGCCAACCACCTGTGTAGTATGGTCTCTACGAGCGCCTTCGGCTCCTCCTCTTCCGTAGTAGGCAGAGTCATCTCGTCACCGCCGCCGGCCGTGTAGGGCTTTTGGCTTCCAATTTGAGGGCAGAGAGGGAGGAAACAACATACAAACAAGCTGCAGGCATCCTCGAGCAGCACTTCTAGTAAGCAACCCCTGTTCCACGCCCGTACGAATAGCTGCTCGAGGCCATGTTGGTGTGCAATACCACGATGACCGGGCACGGCAAGAAAGAATTGAAGTTTTATGAAGCTCACAATGCAGACTGGCCAAATGGCATGGCCAGCTCGCCCATGTTGTCTTCGCACCACCAGCACGACAATGAACAGCGGAGACCGATCGGCCTCGATCACCATGTATTCGCGACCGGTCTACCGCAGATGAAGTGTAGGTAGGGTGTTCCACCTCTCCGCACGAGGTTTCAGTACCAATCAGGCCTGTGACCGCGACAAGCCGCAGCTGAATGGAGAATGATGGGTTGAGCCGGCGCGGTCCCGGACTCCAGCAGCAGTCCATGCGAGGTCTCGGCCGTCACCGCAATTTCAGTTCCAGTATCTGGTCAACGGCAAAACCTGCTCTCCTCACAAATAATCGAAAACAATAACGACAACTTCAGCACGCTGCTCCGTACACACTTAAAATCTCCACGTGGGCGCATCCACATTGAACGACAGTAAGAACAACTTCGAGTGTCTCGATCTGCCAGCTGTAAGTCTTCCTCGATATAGTTAACGCTCGTTCCGTGGGATAGATGGGTTGTGGAGTTCCGCTGCGACGATAAGGGGAGGCATTTGCTCCTTCTTTTTTGAGGCAGATGGAATTGATTGAATTGCTGATAACTGAGTAGGACTATGTTACCACAAGAGAGAAGTACTGAGATAACGTGGGTGTGATGGGATGAGTTCGGGGCATGGGTGCATCAATGGGAAATGAGGAATAAGGAATGGGAATTCTGTAATTTTCGAAGCGACTGACTCTGATGGATGATGAAGGAGAGCCCAAAGCACGAGCAAGCAAATGAGCAAGGAGTAAATAAAAGGGTCGAACACAACCTGCTCTGATGTTGGAACTCTGGAGACTGGTAGCCTGTTCTGCAGGAACCGTGATTGACTCGTCGCTCCTCTCTACATTCTGTAACTGGAGCCATACTTGCTAATATAGATTCCTTATTAGCATTCCGGTCTCTAAGCTTGATATCCTATCCTCATTCCTGCAGACAACTACCCCGGACAATAAATTGCTAGTAGGCCGGTTCTCTCCCCTCCAAGGACGAACGACAACAATAGGATCGAGTGTCCCGTGGATTATCGAACGTGAAGAATCTACTGCCCCGCCGGCTCAATAGTCTCCAACAAGCCACCTGCCATCTCGTTCTGCTACGCCATCTCACCTAATGTCGTCCCCGTGGCCGAGCGGAAAACGTGATGTTGCATCCACGCTTCTGGTCTGGTGGTCATTTTGTAAAGAATCCAACCCAGAGTTGCCGTAACGCGGACGTTGATGTGTTGGGGCCAGATGATTTCGCATGCTACGACGAGGTCGGAGGGGCTGATGGTGATGGCGGTGCTGGTGATGTTAAGGAGATGATGAAACCGCGAGATGGTGTTTTCGATATTCGAGGTCGGCGAGAGCGGTCGTGGCGATGGAATGTGTGCCTTGCTGAAGCTGGAGCGGAGGTGGTGGACTTGTCGATCGTAGGTTGGGAGTGAAAAGCTTAAGGTGGTCGAAGAAGATGTGCGTTGGTCTGCTCTGCGCTCCTCCCGAGGCTGACGTTGTCGTGCTCCATACAGTTCGCATCATTTGTTGTGCAAGGACATTGAGCACAATGGTCTCCTTAGGCATAAATCCAGCACAAGGATGGACGTTGCCCCGCCTCCTCAGACCGCGACGCGCAAAATTTGCATCTCAATTCTTCCCGCCGCATCAACACCGCGCTGCCGCAACAGCAACCTGGCGATCGAGCTACGACCTCAACGAGCTCCTATCGCATCTCTGGGCCATGTCCTCACTGAGCAGAGAAAGCTTTCGAGATTTGCGAGCTCAGCAGAAAGCACGCGCACAAGGCCGATTGGCATCTCGCCTTCCTGTTGTGAGAGTCCAGGGCTCGCCTCGGCCACTGCGCCAATTCAGGATGACATGCGCCTTGATGCCGTCGCCACCACTGGTATGCCAGTGATGCGGAATGCACTCAGCCACCTGGACTACAACCTCGCTCATGAGGTGCGGTCACTTCGGATTTCAAACTTCAGCCAGGCTCATGCCAGCCCCAAATGGGAAGGCGATGTAGCAATCTGACGAATCAACAGTTGGACATTCGCGCCATGCAGAGCAATCCGCCCATTTCTCTCCACATCCGGCAAATTGCGACGTCCAGGAAGAGCTTTTTCCGCCTACCTCCGCTGATCGACACCTCGCAACAACCAATCCTGCAAATCTGCCTACGAGCATGGGCCGCCCCACGATGCAGTGCCGCTCGAGCTGCTCATGGTGTTGCCATCGCCCAAGACAGCTTAGATGAGGAAGAAGACGAACAAGACGAGCAGGCTCAGTAGATGGCGCAGGCTGATGTGTGGGCGACCGAAGACCATTGATGCACACTTTGCGAAGGCTGCCTGTGTGGAGAGCGACACGGCATTTGTTGAAGTGATGTGCACCAGGAGGCGCATCTTGACACACGTTGGCCGAATTGATGAGACCTCCGCCGAGATAAGAAGGACCAGCCGCTGTGCTCGCTGCGTACACATGGGCTAGATGGCAAGAACGGCAAAGAATTGAAGTGCATGCTGTTCACGAGGTGTGTCGAGTCGCCACCATCCTTACGTTGCTTCAAGCACGTTACGTACGCCTATGTTAGGCCTACGCTTCTGGTGAAGCTCAGTTCATCACATCGCTTTCCAGAAGACATACTTACCTACAGCCAAGAGTGCCGATTCGTATCTTCAACACAGCCCCGGCGTTGCTGTCGAGCAGCCTTTCCTCTCGTTCCCCCATATCGCATCGCAGTCTGGTTGTCGCCCTCAACTCCCACACCCTCTCGAGCCAGGCCTCTCTCCGTCGCTATCGAGTCCGACAACGATGACTACGAGCAGCCAGGAGGCGGTGGTTCAGCAGTTCCTACACGCAGCTCGGCAGCCCACAATTCAACTGCCGTCGAGAAGCTTTGGACCGAGGTCTCTGGCGGGGTGAACAGATCTGACAATGACGAGCTCGATGTTCTTGGGGGTTGGTAGTCAACGCCTTGAGATAGGGACGAGCTCAATATTAGCGGCGAGGTGCACGATAAGAGGGGGAAGAGGGAAGAGAAGAAACAGAGAGGGGAAAGAGGGAGGAGAAAGAACAGAGAGGAGGAAGAAAGTGGGGGGAAAGAACAAAGAGGATGAGGAGGAAGAAGGATGGAAAGGAAGAGGAGGGAGGAGGAGGTAGCGGGAGGAGAAGGAAGAGGAAGGCGGATGAGGCCAACGCTGCCAGCGACGAAACAATAGACGTGGCGTAAAGTCGCGTCGCTTCATGTCTTCGAGAAGTAAGTCGCTCTTCGCATCGCCGGCTACGTCAAACCCAGACGGGTGACTTTCTGGGCCTGGACGCTTCAAAGGAGCGCCTGAGGCCGCTGCTAAGCTGGTGCTCTGATGCTAGCGCAGTGTCTGGCGGCTCGCTTGAGCGCTGGTTGAATCACCATCGACCCTATCGTGCGGCGACGGCTACTTCTCGTCCGTGTTGGCTGAGCCTCGGGTATACACTCCATTGGGCCTGTCCTTATCGGGAAAGATCAAGGGCAACTGGCTAGTGTACGCCTTCGTACAAGCCTCGATTCGGTTCCTCCAAATGCGACAAGGATAGGTACTGAGCATCATCATTATCGTTCAAGATAGAGGTCTTACGAATGATGCACTTGAAATCATCAATACTACAGGCGATGGCCATTGCCGGTGTACAATTCATGAACAGTATCAGGGAGGTTGACTTCTGAAAGTCATAGTAGTGCTTGTCCTTGTCATGCGCTCTCGCCGATTGGACGAAAGCCGGCATGCTTCAGTACATGATCCTTTGTCGTCTTGGATGCTGTTGCAGTGGCACCGAACCAAACCGCATCGTTGCGCATGGTATTACGGCCAGAAAGATGTATCAAAAGGCAGCGTGGCCAGCAGGAGTCAGCTCAAAAATCTGTCTGCCATATAATTTCGTTCGCTTGGCAGATATACACGGCACAATATTTGAATTAGGATGTTCTAACGCCAGAACCGAATCTGAAGAAGCAGCAGAGGATATCGTGCCCCCAATGGCATCGGTACGCGTTCTCGAAATTCCAAGAAGCATATCTCAAGAGCTTTGAATATCGACATTCGCAGCTTGGGAGCTAGCAGAGTTGTCATAAACGATGCACAAGGCTTAAGATATTTTGTGCCTTGAATACTTGGAATTGTTGGAACAACGCGCTGTGGATGGCGACGACGTGGCTGATTCTGGCCAGAGCATACGTTGACTCCTGTGGCCACGCTTCCGCGACGAGGCTCGTGGGACTTGTGTTTATCGTGATGCAGATGATATTGTGCTGTAGGATCAGAGCATCACAGGGCAGGAAGATGGGCTGCAGCCGCAAGCGTAGGTGAAGGCATTGGAGAACTCGTAGCAAGCGCTTGATGACTTGTTGTACATCACACATCGCACATCACAACTGCAGAATGCTACAACTGCCATGCTAAGCAGAATATCTAGCAAAGACTCGGCCAAGCTCTGTGAGCATACGGCAACACGCTTGACGAGGTTCGTCAGATCCCAAACTATCGCTCAACATGCGACATCTTCCAAGCAGATTCAGTTAGCCTCGTTGAAGAACGCATTGAGAATGATAAGGCCGGTTACGTTCACCTGATGTGTCGACGCTCGAAAGAACCACTACCAACATAGTCTCCAAGTGACTCAACGTCTCAGGATGTGGAGTTCGTACCAAGACTACCCAAAAGAAGGAGCACTTGCAGAAAAGAGGAACACGGAGCAAAGTATGAGCGCTGCTCTAGTCTCCCTCTATCCCGTTTCAGTCTGTCGAAGGGCCCACTGCGTGAAGCATATCTCCAGACCAAATGAAAATGTGAGTATTCTCGCACGACATAGCCTTTCTCTCGGACAACCGTGATCAAGCAGGCATTAACTCTCACAATGCCAGCTCAGTTCTGTACTAATGCAGACGAGGAGGTATTGCAGCCATTCGAGAATGAGGTGCGGAGCAAGAGCGAGAGTCCAGAGCTTTGAGAAGCCACCGCCATGGATATCATGGTTGGAATTTCATCTTCTCGAGATGCTATCGTCTTCACATCCATTCTGAGTTTGTATTGAAGGTACGACACGGATCACCAGCGCTCGCGAAGGTACGAAGGGTTGGCCACGATTCTGGAGATATGTCCATGAGCTATTGCACGATTCAACGGGAATCACAATTGATCGCAGCACTCTCACCCAGAAAGGCTTTGAAGGGCTTCGAACCTCCAGAGACGTTCAGTATACATGTGCCTGATTTCGATACACCGGGGTGTCGAATGGATGACACGGTCTCTGAGTCTTCCGATGCTGCTTGGACACAAGATCTTTGCGTCACCCACAGTTGGGTTGGAAAAGGTGAGGGCTAGGCATTCGTCAACGGCACTCGGCGACGATGATGTGTCGCGGGACGAACGGTGCTTCCAAGCGAGCCGCTACGTCTGATCTCCGAAACGCAGAAGTCGTGCTCGTCTTTTTGTGCAAGCTGTCGAGGAGCGTGCCAAGGAAACCCCATCTGAGCCCCAAAGTCAGCGGGCCCGTGGTTTAGGACGTGGTCGATGAAGCAGGGGAAGAGAGATGGAAAGACGCAGCGAGACGAGGCCGACAGAGACGGCGCATGCAAGATTGAGCAGGCGCAGCATGCTGGCCGGCGAAGACGCCTCCAGGCTAACTATTGATGAGATGCGTCGAAGTCGCCCAGCGATGAAGGCTGCGGGGAAATGGCTTCATCGTGATTGGCTCTGCTAGATAAATCATCTTCCGATCCAGCCACAAACGCCGCTCAATGCGCTGATGCGGCGCACCTCTTCATCTGAAGGACCACTAGCACCTCGACGAGAACCACAACCAGACACAGCAAAAGCCTGAACTCAACTTCAAAGAGCAGATCTCTCGCGACAGTGGGACAGCCTCCGCATATGTCCGACGTATCGGTGTTTGCCTCGGCCATGCGAAGCATTTCCGAATCTCGCCGTTGTGAGGCAAACGTTGACCTTCGCTCATACTTAAGCGATTGAAGAGCTCCACGACTGTGTCCTACAAGGTCTCCGCGGCTTACGAAATGGAGACTGCAGCTGGCCGTAGAGTGAGCAGGGAGCGACGGGAGTCTAATTTGCCTTCTATCGCTTACCGCGTTTGAGCCATGTGTTGTGTTTACTCGGGCAAACGACAAGCTGCTGACATCGAAAGATTATGGCGCTGCGGCATCTCTTCCACCAACGCACGCCAGGTCCCAGCCAATTACTGCCAGTACCACCAGCGACTTTTCCTTCGACAAGCTGTTTCTCACCTCACTACAGTAGTAGCAACATGGTTAAGACAACCCCCACAAAGCTGGACGAACACAAGCTTGGGTTTCTGAACGACATCCCTGCCGAGCTACGCAACAAGGTCTACAAGCACGTCGGCGAAATAGTCGCTGGTCAGCAAGCGAATTGGATATTCAAGTTTCTCCAGGCGCATCCAATGATCCGCCGTGAGGCTTCAAGCATCGTCTTCAATCATGGGAACCACGTTTCTGGCAACATACGCAACTTCAGCATTGTGGTGTCGCTAGAGATATTCAACAACAAGCAACCTCATAAGCTGAAGCGCCGACTTCGATTAATGCCACATGCGGTGCGCCAGCTTCAAATTCCACTTGTCATCTACCTCAAGGACACGCATGGCATGAGTCTCTACTCCATCAGTCGCATCATGTTCGAGATTTTCAATACGCCAACTGTCAGAGCTATTCCGCGTCACCGTCTACAGTTCGAATTCGCCGAAGCAGAGTACGGCCCCGCACCCACGCTCCTCAAGCACTTTTTTGAAGTACTGTTTGCGACCTTGACAGAGAAATACCACCTTGCGGGCGGGAGGGTGGGGTCACTGGGGTTTATG